TCAAATTTTCGGCTTTCATTTTTAATGTAAAGAATTAGATTTAAATATATATTTATATAAACACACACATTTATATGTGAGCAGCTCTGCCCACAGCAGGGTGTTGGTGTTGGTACTGAAGGTGATGCTGATGATTTGCTCGGGAATGGGGTTGTGAAATCAAGACAGTTGTTTAGAGATTCAGACCCATCCTTCTGGAAACATCCCTAGAGAACATTAAGTTTTGTATCTACAATGGTTTAGTAATTTCCAACCCATAGAGGTGCTATTGTACATAATTTCATCTCCATTTATCTCCCAAGGAAAGCAAAATGAATTAGGAAGACTTGCTGACAAAAATAATCCTTTAAAGCTCTTAGAGACATTCTATTGATGATGCATATGTTCTGGGCACAGATATTCTGAGAAATGCAAGGCTATTGATTGCTTGTTAAAAATGACAACTCAGGGGCATCCATAAATGCATTGCTATCACCTTCTAGTGGTTCAGATTTTATTGAAGAAATTATTTGACTCCGTAAGAAATTCACACACTTACAAGCATGAGTCAGCTGTAAAGTTGGCTTTTTGGATTCAAATATGGGTTCTATCACTTATTAACTATAGAGGCATAAGCAAGTTAATTATTCTGCTTTTTCTCAGCCATAAAATATGTCTAAACATAGCCAGATGTGAGAATTAAATGAGAAAACATGTATCAAGTACTAGCAAAATACGTGCTACACTAATATCACAGTGCATACATTTATGTAGTAAATTTACTTCGCCTTCATTTGGAGACCAATAATATATTTATTGTTTAGGTCATTGATGAAATTCTATGAATGAATGATTAAATGTGAATTAAAGTAATGTATTATTTTTTTTACTTTATCACTTGGTTAATATAATCAAGATTGATAATATTCAGTGTGAGTAAAGCTGTGGGAAAACCTACTCTTTCATACACTATTGATGTGTACATTCAAGATTTAAAGAGACCAAAGTTACAGAATCAAGTTTAACGTATGCATAGTTTTTGATCTGGGTGATGACATTTCTAGGAATTTCTCCAAGAGAAATATTCAAACCAGGAAGTAAAAACGTCTATAAAGTGATGCCCATTGCATCATTGGGTATAGGACAGAATACTAAAAATAGCACAAATGTCAGGCAAAAACAAACTGATTACATGAATTGTAGTACAACCATGAAACAGAATAATACATAGAAATTAAAATGTAGGAAAACTCATAACTGTTAACAAATAATGTCCAAATTGTTAAATTAAAATGTCAAGAATATTGTTATAATTTATATGCTTTTATTAGAGTAAAATTCATAAATGTGCACATACAATATTCCTACATACAAATGCACATCTGAAGAGAGTTCACCAAACTATTAACAGAGGGTCCAATAGGCTTATGCTTGGGCGTGGTCCTTTGACTTTAAGCTTTCTATCACTCTATCTCTCCATATGAAATATTTTCCAAGGGCTATGTCTTACTTATGTAATTTATAAAAATTAAACTGAACATTTAGTAGAAGCATATGTATACTTCTAATAAGATCTAATAACATTTACTAGAAGCCTGGCTAAACACGTAATCCAAAAGCAGAGGATCTGTTTTAAAATAGTTTGAGGTCAGCATCCTTCTCATCCTTCTAGGAAAAGAAATAGAGATGCTGATCTAAGCCCTTTACAGTTACAAAATCATTTAGTCCTTACAACAACCTTTTGGGATAGGTAACATTACCTTCCCACTTTATAGAAAATGGAAATGAGGCACAGAGAAGTTGTCTGGTCTATTTTTATGTACTCAGAAGTGAGAACTGACCGTAGTGTGGGAAATCAGGAATTTTACATAGGTCTTTATACTCTTACTACCTAATTCCAACTGAACTCCACTTTTGCTGAGCACACGTACTCAAGGCATCTCGTAACTAGGTTAGTAGGAGTGTATGTAACTAAGTTTTATGAGACACCAAAAATATAACAAGCATTATAATAAATATTTAATAAACATTTAATCTATAACTTAATTTAATATTTTATCACATTTTAATATTTATAAATGTAAATATCTAAACCTAAAATGTAATGCTAGGAACTTGTTGTATTATATTTAATACAACAACTCTGAAAAAAACAACAACTGAGATTTAAAGACAGTGTGTAACTCTAGTTAATTATATCCCTGGAAGGTCCAGAATGAAACGTAGGTTTTTATGATGTCAAATTTCACATATTTTGGCTACATATGTTATGTTTTTCCTTTCTTCATGCCTTAGTCATGCTGTTCTCTTGTTGAATTTCTTTATTAAAAATTTCGAAGTTTCTAACTTCTCGTGTCAAGGCTTAGATCAATCTTCTTTGAAATCTATATCAGACTGATAATTTCCCTCTGGAACTTATATTGTACGTGCATTGTTTCAGGAGTACTCATTCTGTCTTCCTCTTTAAGGGTAAGACACCTCCTCTATCCTTCACATTTTTGGACATGTTATGGAATGAGAATATCTACTGTCTAGGTAATCATTAGAAAATTGAAGAAATGCAGTTCTTCACTTCTTTGTATCAACGGTCTTTTAGCCAAGGTATTCCAAAGAAATACTGGAAAAAGAAGGCATTATTACAGAGAGGATCAGAAGGTGGTGATTCAACACTGAACTGGAAATCGAAGGTAGGGCTCCACTCTTGGTTTTGGCTAATGTAGGTCTAGGAGTAGAAATGAGAAAGCTGAAAGATGCGATATATGAACTTAGATGCCAGAAGGATTGCAGCCTGGCTCGGACAATGGCACTCTCTCATTTCTGGAGGCAAGACAGGCATCAGTATTGCTTCGGCATTATCCTTGGATGCTGTCTTCCTTGGTTGAATCCAATTTCATGGATTTAATTAAATTTAATTAAACAACTAGTGTGTACACGGCACAGCATTAGACATTTATGGAAATAGAATAAATTAGCTATCCTTAAGCATCCACATAGGGAGATAAAATTAACATGATAGGTCTCTAACATATTCCTATCAAGTGGCAGGCAGCCTCCACTTAAGTATTCATAACAAAGAGAAGATTGCTATTGGAACAGTGCTTCTACTGTATCATTTGGTTGTAGTAACACTTGTATATAGCTGACTGAAGCTACTGTTGATTCCTTCAATAGCAATGGTGTAATGGGTAAGAGCTTGTGTTTCAAAGGAGATTGCACAGATTCATAACACTCACTCATTTTAGATGAGATGCTTACTGACTCCAAACATCAGTTTCCACATCCTCAAGATGGGATTTGTGATAGCACCCATCTCTTGTGATATGAAAAATAATTTCAATAATGTATGTAACAGACCAAGCACCTTGCTGGCACATAGTGATTAAAAAAATAAATGAATTCATTTACTGATATTTTGATTATTCTTTAAAATTCTTTGTTTCATCTGGGGGCACTCCTTCACAAGGAAAAATGGAAGAAATAATTTTTACTGGTACAGGCTCATGTGCAGGGATGGTATCCGCTAAGTTGGATCTGGGTCTTCTTTGGGCAGTGAAAGAGACACAGTTTTATTTTCTTTAATCAGCATATCTGGAAAATTATTAGAGTCATAGAATGTTAAAGTTAATTGGTTGTAATTTCTAGTTTCAGGGTTGGATTATATATATAATTAGAACATGTTCTTTATGGTAGAATTGTCATCGAATTTGTTGTTGAATTTTACTGTAGGATTTATTTAGTAAAATGAGCACAGGAAGCATAAGTCTATCTCACTGGTTTGTTATGATACTAAATTATATCATGAAGCAAATGTCTCTACCATATCCAGCACTTGATAGAATTTTAAGAGAAGCAACATTGTTTGCTGCTACTATTGATTTTGATCCAGGAAAAGCTGGATTTGAATTTGGTTTCATTGTTTTCTAACCATGGGAACTTAGTGTCATTCTTTCATACTCTTTTAAAAAATTATTTTCTGTTTATTTATTTTTGAGACAGAGAGAAACAGAGCATGAGTGGGGGAGGGGCAGAGAGAGAGAGGGAGACACAGAATCTGAAGCAGGCTCCAGACTGAACTGTCAGCACAGAGCCCAACATGGGGCTCGAACCCACAAACCAAGAGATCATGACCCAAGCAGGTCAGATGCCTAACCAACTGAGCTACCCAGGCACCCTTTTTTCTATTGTTTTAAGCCTCCATATTTTATCTCTGAGATGAAGTGAATGTATTGTAGGGTATTCTACTGCCTGAGACATAGTAGGGATTCATTGAATATTTGCAATATGTAATAATAGTCCAATTTGAGAAGATGACATGTACATGGAAAGAGTATAGTTTATAATAAGTGGGGAGTCCTTGGGATATGACCTAGCTTGTAGCCTGTCAACAAGCTCATTCTAAGTGCTCAAAGAATATATGGAAGAAATGAATGAGAATATATGTATTCTTGGTTGTTGAGTATGTCTAGTGATAAATGAATGTTAGCTTCCTAGCTTGAAGTTACCAAAGATCAGAGGCTGAGAGACGGGCTCGTATGTAGGTGGTCTATTCTGGAAAATAGACCAGAGGCAGTGAATGATGTGAGTGAAATAGGGAAGGAAGAAAAGTTAATCCAAGATTGTGTTAAACTGGTTATCATTTATTCACTGACTTCTATTTATTAATGGTCTAGGATTTCTTTAAAGTATGTTGATCCCTTCACACTTCCAGGTATGAGTATGCACCAGAATGATGAAGTGGGGTGTTCCAAGTGTCTCAAGCAACAAATAATGGGACAGAAAACAAGAGATGTACTGGGGAGTGAAGGTCTTGTTGGAGGGGTCCATAGGATGGAGCTATTGTCAGGCTATCATCCTGTTAGCAGTTGGCTGCTGTTGTCAGTGGCTGGAGAAAAAAGTAGGTCAAGAAGGTACAGGACACAGTGAAAAAATTATCCAGCACACTCAGTGATTACTAAATGAAAAGAATATTCTTTTGTAGATTTTCAAGCACACTGCAGTGTGCTTATATCAGCCCATACTAAATGGAGAATCCAAGCAATGTGACCGAATTCATTCTTTTGGGCATTACAGAGAATCCAGAGCTGCGGAAAATGCTCTCTGCTATGTTTCTAATCATGTATGTGTCCACGGTTTTGGGAAACCTACTCATTGTGGTAACCGTGATCACGAGTCAGAGCCTGAGATCACCTATGTATTTTTTCCTTACTTCCTTTTCCCTCATGGATGTCACCTACTCTTCCGTCATTGCCCCCAAGACAATTGTGGACTCCTTCTCCGAGAGCACTACCATCTCCTTTGAAGGCTGCATGACCCAGCTCTTTGCGGAGCATTTCTTTGGGGGTGTGGGGATCATCCTTCTCATCGTCATGGCCTATGACCGCTACGTGGCCATCTGTAAGCCCCTGCACTACATGATCGTCATGAGCCCTCGGGTGTGCTGCCTGCTACTGGGCGGGGCCTGCATGGGGGGGGTTTATCCACGCAGGAATACAGCTTCTCTTCATGTATCAGATACCCTTCTGTGGTCCCAATGTCATCGATCACTTTATATGTGATTTGTTTCCATTGCTGAAACTCGCCTGCACGGACACCCACACCCTGGGTCTCTTAGTCATCCTCAACAGTGGGGTGATGTGTGTGGCCATCTTCCTTATCCTCATGGCTTCCTATAGGGTCATCCTCTGCTCCCTGAAGTCTTGCAGCTCCGCAGGGGGGCGCAAAGCCCTCTCCACCTGTGGCTCCCACCTCACTGCGGTAGTCTTGTTCTTCGTGCCTTGCATTTTCCTGTACGTGCGGCCTGTGGCCACTTACCCCATAGACAAGGCAATGGCCGTGTCCTTTACTATTGTTGCACCCATGTTAAACCCCTTGATCTACACATTGAGGAACACAGAGGTGAAAAATGCCATGAGGAAACTGTGCATGAAACGAGCATCCCTGGGGTGTCACTAGCTTACATGCTAAGGAAAAATCTTTTCTACAAGGACAATGAGGTCTTGCCCCCCTCCCCCCCACCATTCATCCCAATCCATTGGGCACACAGCAGCCAATGGCATCTTTGAAGTATGCAAATCATATTAAAATACTACAATTACCCTACCTCCTACCTCTCCAGTCCATTTTGTGCTCCATCACTTTTCTTACAAGACTCTGGCCACTCTTTTTCCTTTTTGTTTTCAAACCTGTTTTTTGTTGTTTTTTTGTTTTGTTTTGTTTTTTGTTTTTTGTTTTTTTTTAATAATTCAAGCCTGGTTTTCAATAATTCAAATTCCAGTTCACGGCCTTTGTTTGTATCCTGTTCACTGCTGGAATTGGAATTGTGTTTTCTAGAGATTTAGCTTGGTCAGCTCCATCTCATTTTTTTCCATTTTCAGATGAACTCCCACAACCTTAGATAAGTCTGTCCTGACAACTCTCCCTAGTCATTCTCCCCTCAGTTACTCTCTACCTTTTCATTCCTGGATTCACTTCACATTTCTTGACCTTGCCTCATGTCCAAAAGGAAGAAGAAGCCTGTGACAGCATAATAACTTGTCTAAAAAACTTAGGATGATAATTTTTCTATTTTAATTATAGAATTAAAGAACTGGAAGGGTCATAATGCTATACCTAGCCTTTCATATTTATAATGTGTATGGTAATTTTCCCAATGTCAAAAGTAGGTCCAAAGCCCACATCTTCTATTACAAAGGTAAGAGTTGTTCTTACCATTTGTGCTGAAATTATTATCTGTCAGATTTCACAAATTTCTTCTTGTATCTGCCCTATGGGTTCCCCAAATTAATTCATGTTAAATACCTTTACTCACTAAACATATTATTTAGGAGCTCAATGCCTGACTTTTTAAACCCTAACAGCTGAAACAAATATTGATCTTACTACTTTTTTTTATAGGAAACTGTTGTTACTAATGTTAGCTTGTAAATCTCATTTGATTATCTCTATATTAGAATTGAAAAAATTCAGTCTTATTCATGATGCAAAGGCATAACAAAACAGGGTAAAATGGTGCTTCTATTGCAGGCATCAAATTTATTGGGAAACATTAGATGAACTTGCTTCCTATTTCACTGAGAACAATTAGGACATAAGAACACTTCCACAGACTTGTGCCTATACCTACCAATCTATCAGCATCTGTTAAATTATATGCTGCCTTCCTACTTACTCCAATAAACACATTATCTGTGTTCCTATCTGAAGGCAAACATCCTTTTCACTAATCTGTGCTCTGGACTTCATCTCCTTATTACTTACATAGAGGCATCTCTTATTTCATCCACACTTCCCTTACTAATGGATCATTTGCATCAGCAAAGAAGCAGTCTGTTATCTTTCCTTTTTAAAATAAAATATTCCCTTGATCTCATTTCTTTTATCAACTACACTTTATGTTCATAGGTGGGAAGAACCTATATTTTTAATAATACTACCCTTATACCTGGGCAAGCAAGGATTCTGTTCTTTGTTCCACACTTGGAAATGTCTTCTGTGAAGTTTGCTAGGTTCTCCAATGTCTGGAACTGGGTAGTGCCTTCTGGTGGGGTACTCCAGCCTGATTGCATGGGTCTTATCCTTTTTTCCTCCTTTGGGGTGCTCTTTGGCTCTCTATGCTACACATGGCACCAACCAGATGCCCTAAAAGCTCTGGATTCTTTACTATCCTATCCTATATTATAAAGTATTCCAGGTTCTATGCCCAGGACCTTGGCTCTATGAGGACATAATTATGTCAAACAAGAGGCATTATTCCAACATACAGAGATTCCGGAGAGAATAAGAAGAGATAGATTCTGGATCTGAAGAGTAAGACAGATATTTACACACCAGGAAGAATCTTTCTGTGTCTAATTGGACAATAAACAAATCCAAAGTACCTCCTCTCTGCCCCAAATTCTAGAATTCTGTCAGTAATTCACTATATCTCACACTGACCTAAGAATCAAATTATTATTATCATTATCATCATTATTATCATTACAGTAAAACCTTGGATTGCAAGTAACTTATTCTAGCAGTGTTCCACAAGATGAGAAAACATTTTTAATAAATTTTAATTTGATAAACAAGTGATGTCTTGCAATATAAGTAAGACATGATGCCAAATGTCACATGGTTACAACTGAGCCAATGGTTCTTGAAATTCACTTTGATATACTACAAGTGCTTTGGATCATAAGCATGATTCTGGAATGAATTATGCTCACAAACCAAGATTTTACTCTATTATTATTATTATTATAGTATTTACCTATGCAGGGGTCCTGCGAAAAAACATTTGGCTGCTCTCTACACCCTAGATAAGACCCTGATTTTGGAGACACCAGTTTCTGTGGTAAATTAAACACCCCTGCAAAAAATGACAATGTGTATCTTGGTGGAAATTGATAAACTAATATTAAAATTTGTGTGTATGTGTAGCTATGTTTGAACAGCCTTGGCAATAAAAACAATATGAGAGAAGTTGATGGAACTGGATCTTCTACATATCAGAATATACCATAAAGCTTTTCTTTGTATACTTTTTGCTAACGGCCTGCTAATAAAGAATTTTAAAGAACTGAAAAAATGGTGCAGAGGTTAAACTATCTATCTTTGGAAATTTAGTATAAATTCTGTAACTTAATAAATGATGAAGGTGGACTTTTAAATCTGTGGGTAGAATGATCTATTGGATCAATTCTGAAGGGACAAATTGCTATTTTATCTCCTCCTTACCTTGTACTCTCCACCCCAATTTCATACATTTCTTTGTACCTGTCTCTGTCTCTCTCCTCTCTCTCTCTCTCTCTCTCTCTCTCTCAAGTTTTTAAATTTACCTGATATTTGCACGGACAACATGCTTGTTATATTATCTGTCCCATTCAATCATCACACTATTATTTCAGAGTTATCATACTCACTTCCTCTAACAGAATCAAATAATAAAGGATTAATCAAAGCAGGGCATAGAATAAAGTAGAAGATGCCAACTGTGGTCCGAAGTAGGAAGCAGGGTTCCAGGATTTAATTTCTGGAGTTCTGCTGTGGAGTCGCGTGTTGAAAAGATCATTTTCTCCATAAGTGTGTTCCTGGTCAGATGGTTCTTCTGGTCAGGAAAACTTTCTAAAGTGTCAGTTAAAAGAAAATAACATGTGCCTGTTAATACCACAGGTGAAGGTGATTCTGCATGTTCACTTTTGTGGTGAATCACCTCAATTCTGCTTCTTTTTCCTCAGATGTGAATAGACATAAAATTAGGTAGAAGACAAAAATGTATAGAACAACAAACTCCTTGGTATGGACCCTCTCCGAAGGGATCTCATGAGCTAAGTCCAAGTTTCCTTCAAGCTTCAATCCCAGCGCTACATACTCTGAAGGATCAGAGTAAGCAGACCTGTCATTCCTTCTTTTAAAGAAAATGTTTATTTATTTTGAGAGAGAGAGAGAAAATGAGAGAAAATGCAGACAAGTGGGGGAGGGCAGAGACAGAGGGAGACAGGATCCCAACTGTGCTGACATCAGAGAGTCCAATGCAGGGTTCAAACCCATGAACTGAGAGACTATGACCTCAGCCAAAGTCAATGCTTAACTGGCTGAATCACTCAAGAGCCCCCTGTTGTTACTTTAAAAAAATAGAAAGAGAAACATTCCTTTTATCTCTAGAAATTATTTTTAGTTTTAAAGTCATAGCATATAACGCTTTAGTATCAAGGGAGGAAAAAAGATTTCAATTAATCCATACAGCTTTGCACATTATTTATAAAATGTGTTATTCCTTAAAGAGCACTTGTTATCTAATCCTAATCCCAACACACTACAGGTACTTATGGACTGATGTGGATCATCCCAGAGCTGAGCTCTTGTATTTAGTAAGTACACAAGCATTTTGCCTTAATCCTGCACACAGATATTATATTCCATCCCAATATACATAGTTTTCTATTCCTGAGTATGAAGGAAAAACCAAAGCATCTTCAAGTGGGAGCCCAGGAGAAGTTTTAAAAAAGAAAAAAAAAAAACCCTTTAATTGGTTGGGGACATAAAAGTTTTGCAAATACCTAAGCAAATCAAATTACAGATAACTGTGTCTTGAAAAATCATACTGATGGGAAATTTCCAAACCCTGAGGAAAACTAAGAAGCATTTCTACAGGTTCATGGCCTCTCAGGGAAACTTCTTTAAATCCTAGATGGAAGTCAAGGAGGAAATTTTGCTTCTTTTTTTTTTCCCTGAGACCATGTTGAAGACTGTGCTTGGGAAGCAGTGTAGAACATTCTCTACCTCCTCTGCCAGATATGCTCTTCCTCTCTTTCCTAGATGTAGAAGTAAGACTTGGAAATATGCTTCACATTTTGGTCAGCCACCAAATGAACTTTTCTCCATAGAGTATATGAGATTGCCATCTCCAGAACTTTCAAGAAACTGATAAATGGTGAGACTTGTGATTCACATTTTTGTATTTTCAGAGAGGATTTTACTCTTTTTATTGCAGGAGTAAATAAAAATCTGGATCAAAAATACAGTGGATTTTAGGAATTTAGGGAGAATATATTGTTAATAATGAAGTTTTAATCCATTCTTTTAACTTGTAGTAACCATGTATATTTAAAAGTACATGCAAATGTGATTGATGTGCATATAAGTACATAAAATGTATCTTAAATTTGTTTGTAATATAATTATAAAATACTAACTTTAATGATGACCTTACCAATAATTCCTCATCTAGTTTTAAATATACACTTCAGAGTTGAAACAGGAATTTCTATTATTTTCAGAATGACTGATGCTTGATTAGTTTTGTTACAAAATGAATGGGAAGGAAATAGTGGGCACTGAGGTTAGTGGGGAGGCAAATCCCAAGGTCACAGCCCCAGGAAATGGCCAATAGCTTAGTTCATGGCCATGAGGACCCCTGAGCAATCTCTAGTATACCTGCAGCATATTAAAGATTATGGCTATCAAGAAAGGATGGACCTTGGAATCTTTGGGAAAGTTTGGGCCCAATGACACGGCTATTTATGAAAAGGTTACAATACTCAAACATCTTTAGTTTAAGAATTTATGGGGGCGCCTGGGTGGCTTAGTCGGTTGGGTGTCCGACTTTCGCTTAGGTCATGATCTCGCGGTTCGTGGGTTCGAGCCCCGCGTCGGGCTCTGTGCTGGCTGCAGGCTCAGAGCCTGAAGCCTGTTTCAATATGTGACTCCCTCTCTCTCTGACCCTCCTCTGCTCATGCTGTCTCTCTCTCTCTCTCTCCTAGAAATAAATGAAACATAAAAAAAAAAAGGAATTTATGTTATGTTACCATATTAATGCCACCAAATGCAAATTAATTATTCTGGACAGTTAATAAAACTATCCTTATACCCCATCTCCTTTTTTTAATTTTTAAAATATTTATTTATTTTTGAGAGACAGAGAGACAGAGCATGAGAACAGAGGGAAGAAAGAGAGGGAGACACAGAATCCAAAGCAGGCTTCAGGCTTTGTGCTATCAGCCCAGAGCCCAACACAAGGCTTGAACTCATGAACCGTGAGATCATGACCTGAGCTGAAGTTTGCCACTTAACTGACTGAGCCACCCAGGTGCCCCAGCCCCCCAATCTCCTTTTTCTGAACTGTTAACGTGATGGAAAATATGGTGATGTGGATTTTAAACTTGATTTTTAATTTTAAATTTCTATAGTTATATCTAGATACATACTGAAAATAAAACTCCACTGTCTTAGAATGATCACTTCTTGATTTTAAATTTTTATTAAAATGTCTGTACAAATGGGCAGTTATTATACTATTTTTGTTTTTCTTATTTCACATTGATTAGCATTTTATTGACAGCATCCTGTGCTATCAGTTTATAGTAGTCTGATTTACAGAAGCATCTTCCTATTTTTCATCATGTTGGGTATTTTCAAATTTTCGCTATTATAAATGACATGACAACATCTTCCATTATAAAAGTTACGCCACCTTAGTTTAAGCAAAATCCAAATGAACAAAGGGGAAAATAAAAGAGACAGAGAGAGGGGCAAACCAAGAAACAGACTCTTAATAATAAAGAACAAAGTGATGGTTACCAGAAGGGAGGTGGGTAGTGGGATGGGTGGAATAGGTAAAGGGGATTAAGGAGGGCACTTGTGATGAGCATAGGGTGATATACGGGAGTGTCAAATCACTGTATTGAGCACTTGAAACTAATATAACACTGTATGTTAACTAACTAGAACTTAAATAAAACCTAAAGAAACCCTCAAAACCCAAAATACCTTAGCTAAAATAAAGATTTAAAGGTATTTCAAAGAAAAGAAACCGCAGGAAATCATTTGTTTTAACTCCTAGGCTTCCTGCAGGTAAATTTATTATTCCTATATTAAAAGTGAGCCCAAAAGTAAAGTATTCTGTCTACTGACTTTTGTGCAGTATTCAATAATGTCACCATATTCTGATAGCCCATTATCTTATAATATCTTGATACATACGTAATACTTGAGCTTCAGTCTGGAGAATTCACAATGTATCAGATAGCATAAGTAAAATATCAGCTCTTGGGGGAATCCTATTAGAGCTGGTTGAATAACATGTCCCAAAAGATACGTCTACCAGAACATGTGAATGTGACCCTATTTGGGGAAAAAAAAAAAAAAAAAAAAAGGTCTTTACAAATGTACTTGAGTTAAGGATCTCATGATGAGATTTATCCAGATGGGCCCTAAATCCAATGGCAAGTATACCTGCAAGACAGAAAAGAAGACAGAGATACCAAAGTCCAAGACAAAGATGCAGAGGAGAAGGCTATGTGAAGAGACAGATGATAAAGTCACATGAAGACAGGCAGAGATTGAAGCTGTGCGCCTATAAACCAAAGAATACCTGGAACTACCTGAAGCTGGAAGAGACAAGAAAGGATTTTTTCTTAGAGCTTATGGAGGAAATGTGGCCCTGCTAACACGTTGCTTTTTAATTCTAGCTTCCAGAACTATGAGAGAATACACTTCTGTTGTTGGAAACAAACAAACAGAAAACATTACACCACCTTATTTCACTTTTAGAATAATTATTTTTAGGGTGAGAGTCACTACTACAAGGAATAAAAATATATTTATGACTCTGAAAATATTTAAAAAGATATTTTCCAAATGATTCCATGAATGAAAGATTTTCATTGCAATTTTAGAATTAATAATAATTTTTTAAAACCATGATTTTAAAGACACATTTTTATCTCATGATGGGTTAAACTTTTCTGCATGCTTTGTGGGTGTAAACACTGCATAAATGTAGCTCTGATATCAATATTTCACATCTTCCTTTTGATTATACATTGGAAAACACATGCATAATGACTGTGTCATTTGACTTTTGTGAGCCAGCAGCTTGAACAAGCATTACTAAATCTATTTTATGGGAGAGGATGCTGAGGCTTAGTGGTTTTCTTCAATGACACGTGCCTATTAAGCAATGGAGCTGTAATCCCTAGTTTTTTGACAGCAGAAACTGAATATTTATTTATATTATTTTTTTAAATGTTTTATTTATTTCTAGGAGAGAGAGAGACAGCATGATCAGGGGAGGGTCAGAGAGAGAGGGAGTCACAGACTGAAACAGGCTCCAGGCTCTGAGCTGGCAGTCAGCACAGAGCCCGATGCGGGGCTCGAACCCACAAACTGAGAGATCATGACCTAAACAAAAGTCAGACGCTTAACCGACTAAGCCACCCAGGCGCCCCATTATTTATATTATTTTTAAATAACTTCATATTTTGGAGTAATTTTAGATTAATAAGAAAGGTGCCATTTCTATATATATATAGATAGATAGATAGATAGATAGAGTTCTCTCTCTATATATAGAATACGCACAAACACACACACACACTAGAGTATATATACTATAGAGTTCCTATATTCTCCTCACTTAGTTTCCCCTAATATATTATCATGAGTATATATGTCAAAAACTATGAAAGAAATATTAATATATTACTCTTAATGAGACACCGGATTTTATTCATATTTCATGATGTTTTTTCCACTATAGTCTTTTTTCTGTTTTAGGATCCAGTTCAGGGGAACTCATTGCAGTTGGGGTAATTACCTTTTAAATTAAATAAAGTCATAAACTTTATCATGATAAACTATGAAGACACTGTACTCTCCATTGTTAAAGTTTTAATGCTAATTGTAGATCTTTTTAACTGAAAAATACCCCCAAAGCTTGATTTATTTATATGTAACAAACATTTTAATTCTAAAATGGTATTACTCTTAGAAATGCCCAGACAAGGGAAGTGGAGAGCCTAAGAATTCTTTAATTATTAGATTAATTTAGAGTCTTCCTCTCTATCTCCTTACCCAATTTGATTTTCTTTGTACAATGAAGCTATCTGAAAGAGAAGTGGACACATGTGGTCTTGGGGTCCACAATGATTTATTCAGGGGTTATTAAGGTCATTTAAAAGGGTTGCACATTTAAACGATGTCACATTGTTTTTCACTGTGACCAAAAAAATTATCCTTGTGAATAAATAAAATGGGTACTAAAAATGCTTTTCAGCTTTGGTCATGGTAAAGCAGGAATGACGAATAAAAACATTGTCATTTCTGCTCTGTCAATAGCTCTGGGGCTTTGCTCTTACCATTTATTATTATTTTTCTCCTATGATCCTAATCACATAAATGTTATTATGTGTCTCATCTTATCTGATTATCACATGAACTCTACCAATAGGCATTTTTATTATACACAGTTATAGAGGTAAAATCAGCATCTCTGAGAATTTTAAGTGACTTTTTCCATCACATAACTAAGTAGAACAGCCTGGTCTGTATGAATCTGGAACCGATGTTCTTCCTCATTTCTTTCCTGCTTTGACTCTAGGATAAGCTGATCACTGCCAGATCATGCATTGCTTTGGTATTCTTTACTTTTTAGTAAATGACTGATCCAATGACCTTCTAGTGTTGTTTGATATTCTTGTTTTCTTAGTGAATGCTTATGACCAGATATCAATTTTGCAGTCCAGGCACTGTTTAGGAATGTCTAGTATGCTGAAAAAATAATGGAAATAGTTATTTTATAGTAAAACACAACAAATACTCATATACATGGTTGTATATTTGCTAGTATTACTAACATTGTAAACTGTTTTGGTTAGCTGTAAGTGGTGTTCATAAAAATCAGCTTACTTTTAATTCGCCCAGTAAGCCCATTATTCTTTTATTCACCTGTTTAATAAGCATTGATTATATGTATATGTACACACACATATACATATGGATGGATAAATTTCTGCTATATGTGCAGGTGAGGACATAAAATTCTTCAAATCTGTGTATTGCTATGGAAAATGAAGTCAAAAGTTGGAGGAATTATCTGGATGGCTTATGGAAAAGATTTCTGTGGGTAAGGTGCTTGGGTTTTTAAGTAATAGAAAAGTAGTTATGATTGGTAAGTAAGATTCTTAACTTAAGCAACATTTTTATGTTTTCCAATTTGATCCACATCATAATCCTGTTAGATGAGCAGGCAGGTTATATATGAACATCTCCACTTTACCATAAAGTCATATTCATTACAGACAGATATAGGTTGGCAAGTTGTACTTAATCACATTGGGCCACTGTATATAATTAATTAGCAAGTAATTAATAAAGCCCTAAGATTCTGGCAATATTCACCATGCTGTTACTGTTCCTTACTTATGTGATTGTTGTTAATTTGTATCTGCAAGTAATTATGTCATTATCTTCTGATTCTACATTCATTTGTTCTGTGCCCTTCATCAAAGGGCCTCATTCAAACATGAACAAGGGAATCAGAAGGTTAGAGCCGCTACAGGTGGATGGACATTAGAAAGGCCACCCTGCCTTGTGTTCTTGCTAGAAAAGGAAAGTTCTTACTCCTTTCTGTTGACACAGTGGGAAGCAGTTGGTTGTTAAAGCCAGAATTTGTCTGTTAAAATCCGAAATCAGCATCTGTTATTTGCTATGCTTCCCATTAGTAAAATAAGGGTAAGACCTAACATGGACTATTTCTTGGCAATAGGCCCTGAACAATTGTTTTTATTGCATTAATTAACTTTGTAATCATGGCAAGACTCTGAAATAGGTATTTAAAAGAAAGCTTTTGTTCTTATTTTAAAATGATAAATGAAAAAATTCCAATTTAACACATGCATACTTGTTCTGTGTTCACATGGAGTTTTCTCATGTATCTTTCTATTTTATAAGGAATGAATGAACCCATCTTAAAGGCCAAGTTCATTTCAGATGATTAAAGACATATTTGGGGAGTAGCCATGATTTGCAAGTGCCCCTTAACCTGGATGTTATTTCTTCTTCTGTTTGCAGATCAAGCAGACTCCTATCAGGGACGGCATACAAGTCCCCCTGGCTCCCATTCCATGCTCATGGTGGACATGATGACCACATTGTCATGGTCGTTTCCTCAGGACCTGGATGTTTCTCAGAAGCCTTGCCAACAACAGTTGACTCCAGGAAGCCACTGCTAAGTGACCAGAGTTGGTAGTTGAGATAAACTATTTCTCTACAAGTGGGTACCTCCATTCTTCCCCCTTATTGGAACACTGGCTATTTTAAAGTATTTAATAATACCTTTTCTCCTCCTCAATTTTGCCTGACCTCCACTACCACCTTCAACAAATTTTGACTTTTGTATGATTCACAGTAATGCCAGCACCACAGAAGATAATTTTTCATGTGGATGCACCAACTTCCTTATGACTATTGTATTACTTTGCTCTGGTCTGAGACAAAGTTTTCTTTCTCATAATTGTAGACTGTACATGTTCCTTCTGGCAGCTTTTAGCTTTTTTCTTGGAAATCATGCAAAACCAAAGCTTTGTAACTGAGTTCGTCCTCCTGGGGCTTTCACAGAATCCCAGTGTTCAGAAAATAGTATTTGTTGTATTCTTGTTCAGCTACATTGCAACTGTCGGGGGCAACTTGCTAATTGTGGCAACCATCAGCAGCAGCCCAGCACTCCTGGGTTCCCCCATGTACTTCTTCTTGGCTTTCCTTTCCTTCCTGGATGCTTGCTTCTCTACTGTCATTGCCCCAAAGATGATTGTGGACTCCCTCTATAAGAAGAAAACCATCTCCTTTGGAGGTTGCATGACCCAGCTCTTTGCCGAACACTTCTTTGCTGGGGTGGAAGTGATTGTCCTCACAGCCATGGCCTATGACCGCTATGTGGCCATCTGCAAGCCCCTACGTTACACAACCATTATGAACTGGAGGCTCTGTACCATTCTGATGGGTGTAGCTTGGATGGGGGGTTTTCTGCATTCCATGATACAAATTCTCTTTACTTTCCAGCTTCCCTTCTGCGGCCCCAATGTCATTGATCACTTCATGTGTGATTTGTACCCATTACTGGAGCTTGCCTGCACTGACACTCACATCTTTGGCCTCTTGGTGGTCGCCAACAGTGGGTCTATCTGCATTATAATCTTCTCTTTGTTACTCATCTCCTATGTTGTTATTTTGCTCTCTTTGAGAACCCATAGTCCTGAAGGGCAGCGGAAAGCTCTCTCCACCTGCGGATCTCACATTGCTATTGTGGTTTTGTTCTTTGTCCCTTGCATATTTGTGTATGCACGACCTCCATCTGCTTTCTCTTTCGATAAAATGGTGGCTATATTTTACACCATCCTAACTCCCTTGCTCAATCCTTTGATTTACACCTTCAGGAATAAGGAAATGAAAAATGCCATAAGGAAAATGTGGAACAGAATAATGGTAGTTTGTAGTGACAATTAAAACTTTGAAGTTTAAAAAAAATGGTAAAGAGTAAAAGAGTCAAATTCCCTAGACAAAACCTTTGTGTGTTTGTATCTGTTTGATAGGAGCTAAAGTAATGCAATTTTAAAAACCCAGTAATATGGATCATGAAAAATGTTTTCACACTTAGATCACTTATCGACTCTGAATTGGTATCTCAGTATCTTCATAGTAAATTTAAAAAAGAGTTGGATATTATGTTTACCTAAAATCTAAAAATCAATCAATCAAACAAACAAAAAATGATTGAAGGGAGAAATTATCTATCAGACCTCTTGCCACTCAACCCTTGCTTTGGCAATTTTTTGTGGAGGCATGGCAATACTATCTTAAGAGGTTAGACACTTAACACTATTTCCAATGAAAAGAAGTTTATGCATAGGGCACTGATTTCAGTGACTTCCACTGAAGTCAGGTTCAGTGGAAGAGATCAGTGCATTCTCAGGACCTCAGCTATAAGCGTTCCTGTATCATAGGACTATGTTTTGAAAAACAGTAACTCACACCTTAGATGTCATAACCCCACTTCCCTACCTACTATTCATTCTTTTTATTTTTGAGAGAAGTTATTGTTTTCTGATATGGTACATAATCTATTTACTTCTCTTATTTTTTATTTTTATTTTTGTCAGCCTTCTCTTATGGACTATAAGCTCAACCGAAGCAGGGAAATTTTTCCTTTTTCGGTTCATAATGTATCATTAGCATCTAGAACAGCCTGATGTAGGAGTTCAGTAAATAATTGTTGAGTAAGTCAATAAGAAGATATCTTCCCATATTCACATTTAAATCTATCTTTAACATTAACACACTAAGGTGTCAAATTTGGCAATGGAGTGTAGTGATTGTTGATACTAGCTCTTAGATCTCTTTGCTCTTGATCCTTGACACAGACCATTAAAAATAAATTCTACATTCTAGCAAATTTCCCCATATTTAAAATCTAAATTTAATACATAAAAATTCAAATAGGAAATAAAGCCATTACTCCCTATCCATTTTCTCATTTTCAGTCTCTATCCCTTCTTCCATTCTCTGCAACAATAAATCTTGCTCTCAGTGATCTGACTTTTATTCATAAAATATTTATAATCCCAAAAGTCCTCTATTGCCTCAAATTTGCACTTTATTAGTTGGGTTTATCTATCCAGAGTTTCTGAATTATTCATTGGAAGCCTTACTTTAGTAAGATACAGATTGAAATGAGCAGAGTTTAAATAATCCTAATGAAGACAGAGGTGACTCAAACTATTACAAAACCCTGGCATTGTTTTGACAGAACCTGGAATCCAGGTCTCATTCAGTCCTTTGGCCTACAAGGAATTTAATGAGCACTAAGGGTCAGTTCACTTAGAGATTGAAGAAGCTTCAAGAGATCATTGACTTGGCGTCTTGCCTTTGACCACTTCAAAGATCTTATTGGAAACTGCTGTCTGCAAAAATTTCCCACCAGAACTGGAGAGCTTAGTTATCCTTCAAATATAAGGAGTTTAAAATAGGGATTTTTGACTGGGAGGTTTAAGGGAGGGGCTTATTCATTGGTTGTTCTTGTTTCTCAGGCTCAGATATCTTATGACATTACTGTGCATATCATATGAAAATAAAAGAAGTTTAGACTTTTCCTTAAGAGATGTGGATTCTAGGCTCACTTCTGTTGCTAATTAGCTGTGTGACCTTCGTGAGTTATTTCACTTCTCTGGTTCTCAGTTCCTCATGTTTAAGTAAGATTAATAAAAGCATATGTATATTTCTTCTGTGCTTTCTATGATCCGGGGACTCGTTATTTTCCTGTGTTATATATTTTAAGATTTACAAAAACGTTTTTAAAGGTAGGTCTTCATATTCCCATTTAATTTATGGGAAAGCTGACGCTCTAAGACTTTAAGTGACAGACCCAAAAGCTTCCTCAGGATTCCTCCAGTCCTTTTCTAATACAAAAGGCCAAGTGTTGGGGTGTGATTTTCTCTCAGACATTTCTGTGAGACACTAGGCCTTGCTGGTTGCCACTAGACGTTTCAGCAAAAGTGCGAAACATTGTGCAGTCTTTGTGGTATTCTCCTACTTCTGTTTATGTCACCACGCTCTGTCATTCCCTTGTCTCCTGAATGGATCACTTCATCCTCACCGAAGGTGCCTAGTGAACAGTGACACACCTGCCATGCAATTCTTAGACCAGGGTGATGGCTAACACATGATTTGCTTTGTGAAAAGTAATTTTTAATGCAGTCTATCCTACCTTTAATAGCTTATAACCATTCACAAGCAAATTTCTCTATGGTAAGTGAAAGGGAATGAATCTTAAAAAATAAAAAGAAAATACAGAAGATATATATTCAAAAATTCTTCCCTTTTCCTTCTTTCCCATCTTTCTCTCTTCATTGACTAAAAAATATAGGTAAGATTAGGAATAGGGGAGAACTGAACATTGTTAAAAATTGAAAATAATGGTTATTACCAGTTGATTTTTCCTAAGAGAAACTGGAAATTAAAGAGATGGGGTAACTTGCTTAAAATTACATAGCAGATAGTGGTGGGACTCATGTCTGGCTATCTGACATATTTATCTATCTGAGCCTTTAAATAGCATCAATGACTTTCATGCTTCTAGAAGAGATGAGCTGAAACAAATCCTATGGAGAAGTGAACCGACTTTCCTAACCTGCAATTCATAGTGAATTGGAGCTAACTAATTGGGCCCAAAGCATGCATTTGCCCTTGGACCATCTGAACGAGGTAGCTCATTGGACATCCTTTGGGACTGGGTTAGGAGTAATGGTTTTCCTGGAGCTCCTGAGGCTAAAAGCATGTCGTAGGCATTTGCAGACTTTTGTGAGAATTGTCATAAATACCCAATACCATAAGAAGAAAACGCTTACCTCATTTGTATTCTCCAAAAAAGAAACTGAGAAGACAGGCTGCTTCAGAGGCATTTCTCTGTCAGAATGCAGGAATGAGGTTCCTCTGTAAAATTTTGAGGAACTGAACTAAGAAACTTTTCTTTTTCACCACCCCCTCCCTTGCTCCAATACAAACCTTATCGTTTTTGTCTAACTTAGGGCTTCTGGGGAGGACCTGTGTTTTGTGTGGCCACACGCAGAGTCCCCTCCATAAACTCTCTACACCCCATCACCTCTTGTGATTAAAAAAAAAAAAAATTGATACGTGTCGATTAAGCATGGTTTTCATGTGTTATTCGGGCTTCATATAATTCACCTACTAAGTAAATGGAAATTGATGATACAAAAAAATTTACTACATTGAAAGTCATCTATTTCCTCTTAAGCAAAGGGGTAAGTTTTCCAATCTGTCTGAGATGTTTTCTTCACGTTGTGTCTTAAGACTGTCTGATGATATCAATATTCACGGTGTCTTCTAACAAATGGTGAAGTTCCTGGACAGTATTTCCACCCATGAAGGGTTGATGTGGTCCAGGGTTCCTAAGACTTTTTTGGCCTCAGCACAAAGTTATACTGGCTTTCAGATGATCTCTGCTTAATGTAGAGGGTGAAGAATGATAAACGGCACCATGGCATTGAGGCCAACCTGGCAGAAGTTTCTGCTTTGGGGGTCCTCTGATTTGAAAGGTTTTAGGTCAGCGGTGATGTTTTTGGAATGGTGTACAAGATGGGAGTGTTACTTTTGTACACTTGGGTTTTCAAGAGCTTTGTTAACCCTTGCTCATGACCCAAAACTACACCTTCTGTCTGGTTTGTGGTGGGTCAGGAAGAAAGAAGCTACACCCTGATGAAAACTTGAGTGAAATAACCCTCTTCAACATTTTTTTTTTTTTTGCTTCCCTTCTACATATCTTTTGAATCTTATCTCTGACTCTATCTCTCTGGTGTCTGCTCAGTGTCACTCTCCTCTCTCCTGTTCTATTTTCTTTCTTTGCCCTTCACCATTATTAATTTGAACATCTAATTTTCCTTTTGCCTCACCATGAAGTTTACAGAACCTGATTTTGGAGTTGGGACTGGGAATTAGGTATCAGTTGGCAACGTTCTCTGACGGCTCAGGATTTATCTTCTCTTGGATGCAATCTACATGAGGATAGGGATTTGATATTTTAAATGACCTGGAGGGTAAATGATAGAGAGAGATGCTATCTAGTATCATCCAACTCAAGTTCTAGCCTGATTGTACTTGGCAAAACTTTCTGTATTATACCTGAAGCTCTGCACATAGAGTTCTTTGTGCACAGGGCAAATGCCCACACCTACATTGCAAGAAAATGTGCAGGTCAAGTAAAATAACGAAAGTGGAATATTTCTTGAATGGTAAGATTATATAACATGAATAATATATAATCTAGGAATGCCTTATTAAATTATATAGAAATATGTATATTTAAATATATGTATTATTTAAAATTTTTTAAAATGCTTATTTTTGAGACAGAGAGAGAGAACAAGCATGAAAGGGGCAGAAAGAGAGAGGGACTCACAGAATCCAAAGCAGGTTCTGGGCTCTGAACTGTCAGCACAGAGTCCAATTTGGGGCGGAACTCATCAACTGTGAGATCATAACCTGAGACAAAGCAGATGTTCAACCAATAGAGCCATCCAGGCATCCCTATGAATATATATATATATTTATTTATTTATTTATATATTTATATATATATTTAATAAAGCACATAGTAATATAGGATCTAGGAGCCGATGTCTCTTATCTGGGAAAACCAAGGGAAGACTTTTGGTACCAATATACCAAAAGTATACTTGTATATACTTTTATATGCAATATAAAATACTTTTATATATATATAAATATATATATTTTACTGGTATATATACATTTGAACTGGCTAAAATTTCGACAGATATTTCGATGGTAAAAAATAAAACTTAAGGATTAGGAAGAGAAAATAGTGTGTTCCTTTACCGTGACATCCTCCCAAATCAGAGAAAAAGTACAATCAGTAGTATTGGAAATGATGACTGAATTCAGTGATAAAACTCTAAGTGGTTGTATTGATCTCACAAAATGCATACATCTTATCAAGTGCTACTTTCTTGTCTTTATATCCCCAAAACTTCTTTTTGCTTATTTAAAATGAAACAAATAGAACTACATTACCTGGCTTTCACAATTGTACATTATCTGCTCCCAAACTTCTCTGTTACAACCTTTGATTTCATGACAGTATAGTTTCTATGGAGATCATCTCTATGTTAACCTGAAGCAATGCATGTTTCTTCTTTATTATATTTTACTGACTCTTCTCACATAACTGCTCCTTTCTTCTCAGCCAAGGGCTCCCTCCTTTTTTTTTTTTTTAAATCCCTTTTTAGGAATCCAATGTTTCAAAACAAAGTAATAATTAATTTATTTTCTTTTTTATAGCTGTCAGAGATAATTGGAACTGCCAATCAGAGTTTATAATTATAACATCTCTAGTTTATCATATTGCATTAATATTATTTTAGCTGGAGGCAAAGAAACTTTAAGTTTTACTTAGATGCATAACTTTAGTAGGGGTAAATGGACAATTTGAGGTAGTAATTTTGAAATATATATTTTACTTAGGGAAAGTCAATATAAAATTATGGAATACTTTAGTTTCAGAGAACCATACTGGGAATGAGTTTAACATATTTAAAACCATTGCTTCACATCTTTCTCATTTTTGAAACTTCACCGACCAATCAAATTATAATCTAGGGATCTTTGTACTTTTGGAACCAAAATTCAGGATTATCACCTAGAGTTGTATGTAATTCTTACATAGTTAATTATACCTATCTAGAGGTGTGTGATCCCTCCAACTTTGCTGGCCCTGTTACATAGATTGCAGATATGAGCATGTACTTAGTACATATTGGTGACTGATTTGTTGTTGTTATTGATTCATTGAAGGATTGGTAATTTATCAGAAAGGAAGAGGATCTCAAAACTCATATTAAATTCTAGATCATTTCATATCAATATTAAAAGGTACAGAAATATTGTAAGACAGAATAAAAACAAATTATAGCAATTTCCCAAACTGAAGTAATAGAAGGTAAAATTATGGCTACCATGAACCTGAATTTGGGGAAATAATTTCTTCTTATAACACAATCTAACCAAGATACCAAAGAGGTCAGGGATAATAGGTTCAAACTGGTGTCCAAATTAAGAAATGTGTTTTTTTCATGAGAGAGTCTCTAAGTGTATATATTTTAAAATTATACAGGGATATTATTTTTCAGTGATTGAGCTGCATATACATTATATACACATATATATCATACACATATGTACATACTTAATAAAGTATCTTTTAGAATGTTTAATTGCAAATGAATAAAAAGCTTCCAGATATTAAAGTGACCTGATCAAGTTCATACAGCAAAGTCATTAGTTCTCAGAATTTGACATTGATCATGATCACTTGAGAGATTTATTTTCCTTCTCAAAATTTCAGTCTACATTGGAAGACCTTCAGTTAATGCTCATGGTGAAAGGGTGAACATCAGCATTAAAAAACAAAAGGTTCTCCAAGTGATTATAATACATATAAAACTGAGAATCATTGATTTATTTGTTGTTGGAATTAGAACTAATAGTGCAACTCTGGATCAAGTTCACTGCTGTTGCTAAGTCTCCATTTTGCCAATTTTCTCTGCAGATGAACAATTTCTCAGCTGTGTTTTTCTGCATTCACTGTGGCCATGGAGTTGAATAGCAGTGTGAATGAGTTCATTCTGTTTGGGTTAACACAGAATGTTGTAAAGGAGAAAGTAGTGTTTGCAGTCTTCTTGTTTCTGTATCTCACAACCCTTTTGGCAAATTTACTTATTGTGATGACTATAAGATACAGCCGGACACTTGAGAACCCCATGTACTTCTTCCTTTTTTACTTATCCTTTGCTGATGCTTGTTTCTCATCAACCACTGCTCCTAGGTTAATAGTAGATTCTGTATCTGAGAAGAAAGTCATCTCCTACAATGAATGCATGACCCAGATTTTTGCAGTTCACTTCTTTGGGTGCATGGAGATCTTGGTGCTCATCCTCATGTCCTTTGATCGCTATGTGGCCATTTGTAAGCCCCTGCGATACACAACTATTATGAGTTGGCATGTGTGTGGTACACTGGTGAATCTAGCTTGGGTGGTGTCTTGTATCCATTCTTCTGCACAGATTTTCTTGGCTTTGAAACTACCCTTCTGTGGACCCAATGTTATTGATCATTATTTCTGTGATATGCCACCTTTGTTGAAACTTGCATGCATGGACACTTATGTAATCAATTTACTCATTGTCTTTAACAGCGGGGCTATCTGCATGGTGAGTTTTTTAGTCCTGCTTATCTCTTATATTTTCATCTTACATTCTCTGAATGACCAGAGTGCAGAAGGAAGAAAGAAAGCCCTCTCTACGTGCACTTCCCACATCACTGTTGTCATTTTATTCTTTGTTCCTTGTATATTCACATATACTCGCCCTGTAACTACATTCCCATTGGACAAGATGGTGGCTGTGTTTTACACTATTGGGACACCCTTGCTCAACCCTCTGATTTACACTCTGAGAAATGCAGAAATGAAAAATGCCATGAAGAAGTTATGGTGCAGCAAACTCTGACTTGAGGTGGGAAAAAGCAGGGGACTCCAATTGCTAATTCTGTAACAATTTAAATAAAATTGGAGTAATAGAAAGAGAACGTTTTCACCCCAAAGTGGACAATTGACTTCTCTCCCGGTAGGACTTTTGGAGACATAGGCAGAATGACCAAGGAACACAGACTCATATTATTTTGAGCCAATTTCACAGAGTGCCAAAACATCTAGTACAGTGATACTTATGGGAGATAAGCCCACTCTTCCCTTCTGCTGTCTGCATTGCAGCTTGTAGCTACCTTCTGTTGTATCGATAGCTTTACTTCCCTCTTTTGTATGTTATTCTGGTTTGTGTTTCTCTTTTCCGTGTTTCTGACCTGTGTTGAAAAATTGACCCCTCATTTTGACTGACCTCCTTTGTTGGCAAATCAGTTCTGACACTACCAAATCTGGATCTTATCTTTTCTGGCTTAACAGTGAAGAGCCAAAGTCACTACAAGAAACCAGTGATCTCCCCCCTCCCCCAGGAGCATACATACCATCTAATTAAGCCTCTACTTGATACTTGTCTTCTCTTTACATCATCTTTAAAAATTGGACTTTTTTTTTTTTTTTTTTTTTGCCTCTTGGACATGTAAAAGAAGATAGTTCATTACCTTTAAAAAAAAAGTTTATTTATTTATTTTTGAGAGTGAGAGCAGAGAGAGAGGGAGAGACAGAATATCAAGCAGTTTCCTCACTGGCAGCCCGGAATCTGACACAGGGATTGATCTCACAAACAAGATCATGACCTGAGCTGAAATGAAGAGTTTGACGCTTAACTGATTGAGCCACCCAGGCTCCCCATGACCTTCTATTCAAAAAGGACGATTCTACTTATAACAAATATATTCATTGTATTAATTCATAATACTATCTACTTTAATATCTATTTTCTTTGTTCATCTTGTTTATCATTTGTTCATATTCTTAGTTTCATACATATTTGTAATATAAATCCGTGGGAATTTCCCTAATCATTGGTTGGTGAATTGGTGACAGTTTTATACAATTGTGAAAGTTATATAATAAAAACCAACACCTTGTCAATAAGATCATACATATGAATAATAAAACAACTGACGGAGAAAACAGAGCTACTGTTATAATATTCCGTCCACAAAGAGAAGATGTCCACATAAGTAAGATTCCAACCTGGAAATACAGAAAATATGTCAAAGAAGCAATACTTGTCTCATTAGGCATCAGGTACAGTCTTAGTGCAAAGAAGTGTTTCACTGACTAGTGGATAAGATTGCTCGGCTGTCTGGCATGGCATGTACACTTCTGGATTGGGAGAAATGTTTCAGGCTATGGTTTCTTGAATTCCATCCTTATCAAGCAAACTTTGCTTGAGAATTTGGCTTCCTATAGAGATTTTCTCCCCTGGTGAGAAAGATATTGACTAGTAACTGGGATAAGCAGTTTGGTGTTTTGGTTTTTAGTTTTCACGTATCTCATTAGATTTCCATTCTAGTTTCAGAATTAGTTAACAGGTACTGTTAACTAATGATTATAGACAACAGGAGCCAGTCCCTTTGGGAGCGGACAATGAGTCTGGCTCTGGTAGTAAATATAATCAAGACTATTTTCCTCTATCTAGTGATTGGAGTGTAGAGTGTGGCAGATAAAATCATCTAAAGCCAATCTGAGAGGCTTTACATAAGCATGCTTTCCTGGGGATAAAGGTGGCTCTTCAAACTCTGATAGTAAAAGTTTGGAAGTTTGGAAGATATGTATATATAATACAATATATATACTATATATATATTGTATTATATATACAATGTTGTATATATGTATATATATGTATTGTATTTAAGTTTATTTATTTATTTTGGGAGAGGGAGTGCAGAAATAGAGAGAGAAAGAAAGAAACCCAAGGAGGCTCTGCACCATCAGCAGAGAGCTTAATGCAGGGCCTGAACTCACAAAACATGAGATGATGACCTGAACTGAAATCAAGAGTCCATACATAACTGACTGAGTCAGGAGACACCCCTGGAAAATTTATTTAAAGTTCATCTTCTGTCCTGAAAAACATCACAGTACAAATCCTGTAGAGGATAAGGCAGGAATTTCCTGGTGGGTAAAAGAAGGCATCAACAAGCTACTTTCCTTGACAGCTTTGCCACAAATTTAGCTCTGCTATGAATTACTACAGTTTAGTATTGCTATAGAAACATAAAGGAAGAGGGGCACCTGGGTGGCTCAGTTGGTTAAGAACCTGACTTCAGGGGCATCTGGGTGGCTTAGTCGGTTAAGTGTCTGACTTTCGCTTAGGTCATGATCTCGCGGTTCGTGGGTTCGAGCCCCGCGTCGGGCTCTGTGCTGCCAGCTGAGAGCCTGGAGCCTGTTTCAGAGTCTGTGTCTCCCTCTCTCTCTGACCCTCCCCTGCTCACGCTGTCTCTCTCTTTCTCTGTCTCCTAGAAAAAAAGAAAAAAAAAAAGTACCTGACTTCAGCTCAGGTCATGATCTCATAGTTCATGAGTTCAAGCCCTGCATCAGGCTCTGTGCTGACAGCTCAGAACCTGGAGTCTGCTTCTGATTCTGTGTCTCTCTTTCTCTCTGCTCCTCCCCTGCTCACATTCTGTCTCTCTCTCAAAAATAAAGATTAAACATTTTTAAAATGGGCACAATTGGAAAGCACAGTTATATAAACTTAACGTAGAGTCCTTAGCTGGGACAATATGAAATCTGATTAAAAAAAAAAAAAAATCTAGTTGAGATGTTAGCCTGAAGTGGTTTGTTCAGTTACTTTTCTTTTCTCTTTTCTTTCTTTCTTTCTTTCTTTCTTTCTTTCTTTCTTTCTTTCTTTCTTTCTTTCTTTCTTTCTTTCTTTCTTTTGATATGTGCCAAATTTTCTGTTTGATTATTTCTAGGCATCTAAGACATTTTGTGAGAATACTTTGAATTAAGTAATTTATTTTCAGGGTAGCTTGCCAATCAGGTTTAAAAGGCAGAGAATTCAGGCCACTCATTATGTATGTTATTTTACCTAGAAGAAGTTCTTTTTGGTCATAATTAGGCAGTCATGATAAAAACTGCCTTCCTGAAACACAAGATTTCTGAAATGTCTAATCCTGGGCTGCTTCAAATGTAAATAAAAAGGCATGATTCTACTACGGTAGTGATAACTTTTAAAAATATTTATTTATTTATATTGAGAGAGAGAGAGATAGGGAGCCAAAGAAGGGGAAGTGCAGAGAGAGGGAGAATCCCAAGCAGGCTGCGCTGTCAGCTCCTCCTGGGGCTTGATCTCACGAACGTGAACCAAAATTCAGAGTCAGAAGCATAACTGACTGAGCTACCCAGGCACTCCGATAGTGAAAAATTTTAAATGTTGTGTTTTCATTTAGCTTCTGAGTATGGCATAATTTATGCTGTGCTGTGTGTATTCCGAAGTCAGCAAAGATTATGAGTTCCAGAATGACTGCACTGAGAAGCCTTGGGTCACATTGAGTGAAACTAAGCTGATGGGGTTCAGTGTGAGCTGTGACCCTATGGTGGCACTCGTGACGTGGCATCTTCTTCAATTACTTGTTGTTTGGAGGTGTTATGGCAATGACGTTTCTTGGTGTTGTGTATCAAATCTAGTGAAGTGCCATCATGAGACGGTCATGTTGGGAAGGCTTCCCATGGCACGGGTGTTCCTGGGGACGTCACTATGGAGCTCAGAGGAGGTATATGGCTGAATCTTCTCATGTCCAAGAGCAGCAGACAAGTGTACCCTCTCCTCGCTCCATGTGTGCACAGTATGAAGCCATATCTACCTGTGACTGCAGCACACCTTCAGTCAGTGCACTTCTCTTCCATTTTAAAGGGTGGGTTCTTTCGACTTTAGTTGTCCAGTTTTGAAGGCTTTTTTAAATTCCCATAATTCCTGGGCCTTCAAACTCTGATCCAGCCCTGCAATCAACTTACAGCTCAGAGACACAATATAACAGTTTTAGTAAAGACAGAATCTTTTGCAGAACTGAACGGTGCCAAACATAACTCCAGAATATGGCACGATCTTCAGTAAGTTGCCTGTCAAAATCCATTCCAGAGCCCTAGTTCTCCTGGGGCTTTCCCTGTCCACTGCTCCTGAGAAATGGACATCTACTCCTC